TCACTTTTCAGATTGTTGCCACCAAATATTATCGCCCTATATTACACTGTTATGAATTTTGTACTTAAACAGCTAATTTTAAAAGAATTATTAGTCCAAAGGGGCTTTGTCCCTGAAGGACTATTGTTTTCGTTTTGCCATATTGCGTTGGTTCACTATAAATGTTCGTTTCACTTTTCAAACTGTTGCCACCCAATCTTAGAGTCCTGCATCATATTTGAAGTAAATAAATAATGAAAAATCTGCATGAATGTTATGTATATTTCTTGCATTGTGATAAAACAACGGTACATAGAGCCATCGAATTTTGAATGACGTAATCCTCCTACGAATATGGGCATGTGGAAGCCCAAATTTACAATTGGGAATTTGCTTTATTATCTATTTCATATTTTGTAAAACTTTAACGAATTTTTAATTAACAAACTCCAGGATTTCAAAGCGAGCCATGGCAACGTTGCACAGAAAAAATATTTTTATTTCCAGTGCGTGAGTCTCTTTATCGGAAATTCTAAAGATATACTCATTTTAAAACTATTTTGCGATATTGCTGTTGAACTGAATTTTATGGTTTAAGTGCGAAGAACGTAATATTTAATAAATAAATGTAACACATAAAATGTTCAAAAAACTCCCCTTTGGACGTAATTTAAAAGCTGAAACCTTTCAGATTTTTTTTTATTATTATTTATTGCATTTATAGAATTATTGGAAATTATAAGTAAAATTGTTGTATTTCTTTGTGTAATGTAGGGCGAGACAAATTTCAAGAGAAAGCTATGCCGGTAAACTAAGGGGCAAGTGCATTTAACATTGAAATGAATGTGTAAATCGGTAATTTGGCGAGATGTCGCCAAGCTGACAACAGTTTTGGCGACTTATTTTATGGTTAAGTCAACACCAAAAGTCAGCAAATTTGGCGGCATTTTGCTTCGGTCCCTGTATTACCGTAATAAGTATTGTAACTGAATAAATGTAATTGACCAATACGTTAGCTGTAACCGTAATTACACCCTCGTATTGCTTTCTAGTTATTTCGAGAAGCAGAAAGTACGAGAAATATCTCGGCGGCGGATGGAAAAGTATAAAAGGCCGGAGGGCGAGCATCTGAGTTCAGTTTCTTAGTTGTTGTTATTGCGAGTTAGATTTTCGCCTGAGAAGTCCGAGTTAGCTTTCTCAAAAGATGCCCTTTGCATAGCGTTGTGTTTAACGTTCTACGTAGTTTGAAATGTACCTTCTGATTATACTGCGTGATATTGTGAATATTCGTACGAATATCTCAAGTGGAAAATTCCAGAGTTCCGAAATATTCCTTTTGATTAAAAAAAAAAAAAAAAAAAAAAAAAATGAAACTATTACCGGACTTGTGCATTAAATGTATAGCGAACCCGTACAATATTTAAAGAAATGAAATAATGATGAATATACATGAATGTATCGGCATTGTGATATTTCGGGCATTGTGATAAAACAGAGGTACGTAGAGCCGTCCAATTTTTAATTATATAGTCCACCGCCCGAATATGAAATTTGTTCTATTATCTATTTCATATCTTGTAAACCTTTAACAAATTTGTGATTAACAAACTCAATGATTTCAAAGCTAGCAATGGCAACACTGCATTAAAAAAAATCTGATGTGTACACCACATGACTTCCTTGTACGGAATATTAAATTACACACATTTTTCTTGCATTTCGTTTAAACTTATTGGATTGAATTAAATCTACTTCGCCGACAGCGCATAAACCACAATAGAATAAATGCATTCTTTAAAATTCACTCTATTTGTTTACCATAGCGACACTCTCGCGCTAGGTTTACTTAACAGCATTATATTTCGTTCATATTATAACGCAGAATGCACAAAATTTATATCATTTGAAGAATTATCTAATCGCTGCCACGTGTTCTATTCAAATACTATAATAAAGCTAGAACGATGTATAAAAGAAATTAAGCAAACAAAACAAAAAAGAAATAGTTTTCCACAGACGATTGAGTATTTCTCATTCAATTAATTCAGTTCTCACTTCGCGACAAGGCAAAAATACATAAAAAATCAAAATATCTGTATTAAAAATTACGAAGTAAATCTGAAACACTTATTTCCTCGAAAAAATTCCAGAAAGGATTAAGCATGATTTAATTCGCAATATTAAATGAAGGCTTTATCTTTGATGTTGCGAAGCTACGTTTCTCTGAATTGGCAACAAATTCACTAGTCTGCTGTTTCAAATGTAAACAAGCAATGGCCGCCATCGAAAAAATTATTAGGCTTAGCGGCACTTGAACAACTTTTAAATTAAGACACAATAACACGCCGAATAAATACTAATTCAGAAGTCAAACAACAAAAATCAGCGCTGTAAATATAACGCTGATTTTTGTTGTTTGACTTCTGAATTAACTTTTAAACTGTTGATAATTCTAAAAATATTGGATACAGATTTACTAAAGGCATAAAAACCTTAACCGAAAGATAAGAACAACATAATTCAATCATTTTTAAAGCAAAAAAATGTACAATTTACAAACATATAAGAGTAAAGAAACTGAGATCACTCAGCCGGGTAACAGAGTGGATATATTTATAAATATATTTATATATGTTTGGCGCTGCCGATTGCAACCAAAATACGAGGTGCACATCTACATGTTATAGTAGTCCTATATACAAGCTTTCAAAGTTCTGAGGCTACTCGTTTTTGAGTTATGCGAGAAACGTATATACATTCGTACAGATGCCACGAAAAAATTCTCTTCAGAATTCATTTTAAAGCAGTTTTATAATTTTTTTGGAGAAAAAGAGTCTTTTATTCTGTCCTTACGTACAGACATCACGCAAAAACATCGTTAAATTGCATTCGAAAGCGGTCAAAATGGATATTTTCGGTGAAATATGCTGCCTGAAACTTTTCGTGATTACAATACTTCCTTGTTTACTTCGTACAAGGAAGTAAAAAAGCATTTTTATCTCCAGCGCTCATAACTGTCTACCGCCGCCTGGCCTGTGTAATTCAGCTTGAATTAGCAGCCACCTTTGCACAAATCATTTGAATTACAATTTATAATATCTAAAACAGTGATCATTTCGAATGACCGCCGGGCTTTCTAGTATATATATATACAAAGAAGAATGTCTGTTTGTTCGTTCGAGTTATCGATTTCTGATCAATTATGATCAATTTTCTTCCATATCGAATCGACTAAAATTGAATATAGGTGAAACATTGGATGGAACTTTTACGACCATTCGATTAGAAAGACGAATACCACTAAAAACTGCGTGCCATCGTTGCTGATATAATGAGAGAGAATTAGTTTATTTTTCTATCGAAATCTTTATGTGGATTCCATATCATATCAGACTGAAAAATGTACGACTATGAATCGTATTTTTTGCATCGTTATTAGAAAAGGTTTACAGCAGTATTGTTCTATCTGTTGCTAGATACATTACACTCAGTTTAACTAAACTGCCATCGGCTACTTCCGCTAGTTTAGAATAATTTTAATAATAATTCAAATGACCATTACATTCTCAGGTCATTTTTACTTCCTTGTACGAAGTAAAAAGGAAGTATTGTAATCGCGAAAAGTTTCAGGCAGCATATTTCAACGAAAATATCCATTTTGACCGCTATCGAATGCAATTTAACGATGTTTTTGCGTGATATCTGTACGTAAGGACAGAATAAAATACTCTTTTCCTACAAAAAAATTATAACTGCTTTAAAACTGCTTTAAAATGAATTCTGAAGAAAAATTTTTCGTGGCGTCTGTACGAACGTATGTACGTATCTCGCATAACTCAAAAACGAGTAGCCTCAGAACGTTGAAATTTTGTATATAGGACTGCTGTAACATGTAGATGTGCACCTCGTATTTGGTTGCAATCGGCAGCACCAAACGTATATAAATATATTTTATATATATATCCACTCTATTACACGGCTCAGTTTCTTTACTCTTATATGTTTGTAAATTGTACATTTTTTGCTTTAAAAATGATTGAATTATGTTGTTTTTATCTTCCGGTTAAGGATTTTTATGCCTTTAGGAAATCTGTGTGCAATATTTTTAGAATTATCAGCAATTTTAAAGTTGTTTAATTGCCGCTAAGCCTGTTTTTAATGGCGGCCATTGATGTTTACATTTGAAACAGGAGACTAGTGGATTTGTTGCCAATCTAGAGAAACTTAGCTTCGCAACAACAAACGCAGATAACGCATTCATTTATTATTGCCAATTAAATCATGCTTAATTCTTTCTGGAATTTTTTCGAGGAAATAAGCGTTTGAAATTTACTTCGTAATTTTAATATAGATATTTTGAGTTTTTATGTATTTTTGCCTTCTCTCGAAGTGAGAACCGAATTAATTCAATGAGAAATACTCAATCGTCTGTGAAAAACTGTTTCTGTTTTGTTTTGTTTGCTTAATTTCTTTTATACATAGTTCTAGCTTTATTATAGTATTTGAATAGAACACGTGGCAACGATTAGATAAAATCTTTAAATGATATACATTTTGTGCATTCTGAGTTATAATATGAATGAAATATAATACTGTTTAGTAAACCTAGGGCCAGAGTGTCGCTATGGTAAACAAAGTGAATTTTAAGGAATGCATTTATTCTATTGTGGTTTATGCGCTGTCGGCGAAGTAGGTTTAATTCAATCTAATAAGTTTAAATAAAATGCAAGAAAAAATGTGTATAATTTAATATTCCGTACAAGGAAGTCATGTGGTGTACACATCAGATTTTTTTTTTTTTTTTTTTTTTTGAAAAGATGTCTTTTAAAAGTTTGATTTAAAGATTTAATTTTTCACCACTGTCGTCACCTTATTTCCGTCAGATTACTTCGTCGCTTTATTTTATGCAGCAGCATTACGCCAAATGGCTTTTAAAGTCAGAAGAGAATTTAACTTAAGCATTTTAACACTACTTAAAATCCCCTGGAAAGTACTGTGAAGAATAAGAAAAGCCAACTTACTTTATTTTGTTAGAGACATGTGGTGTAATAATGATAGCTAATTTCCTTGTCGTTTGCACATTTCGTAGAGTCTGGGCTAGTACGAGTGCTCCTAGAGCATATGAATCATTCGTAGCGCACGTTACAAAAGCTTGTTTGTCCACTAAAATTAAAAAGGAGGCATTAACTTAAACCATAACAGAAAAAATACTTATACATACTTAAAAAATAACAGACTTAAGCGTAATATACTTAAAACATAACAGAAAAAATACTTATACAAGATATCCTTATTTTAAGATAACTACACTCTTTTGAAAAAAAAAAAAAAAATATCGAAGCACTATGAAGGAAGTGGTTGTTTTTTATGAATTTGTTAATATGTGTATTGTGAGCCGTGAACATACACAGATAATCAAATGATTAAAAAAATCAAGGTCATAGTAATTGTTCACGGCTCACAATCACCCATTGAGTGTTCAAATTAGTAGTTGGTCGAACCACCCCTGGCGGCAATGCATGCTTGACTTCGTCAAGGCAAGAGTGGTAGAGGTTCTCAATGTCATCCTGCGACACATTCTGCCAGGCATTCATCAATTGTTGCTCCAGATCTGCGATATTTTGTAGTGCCCAAATCTGGCGGCCTATCATGTCCCAAACGCTGGCGACCTTGCTGGCCAAGAAAGAGTATCAACCGCAGGTATGTATGACCATGAAATTTCCACAGTCCAGAGATATGCGAGCGAGCGGTATGTGGTCTGGCATTAACTTGTTGGAAAATGACCCAAGGATGACGTGCCATGAAGGGTAATGCAACCGACCGCAGGATGGTATCACCATATCTTTGAGCTGTTAAAGATGGACGGAGGATGACTAAAGATGACCTGCTGTTATAAGAAATAGCACCCCCACAACATCACACCAGGGGTTATAACCGTGTGCTTTGTAAAACAAAGGCTGACTGGGACCGCTGGCCCCGTCCTCTTCAGACAACACGAACACGGTGGCCATCTGCTTCAAGAGTGTTCGCTGAACACTATACGATGCCAGTCTGCAGTCTGATGGCAGCCATGATGATCGGCTGCAACACTACTCCAGACGACTCGGCCGATATTGTGGGGTCAAAAGCAAACGTTTTAAAGGCCTCTGTGAGCGTAACCTTGCCTCAAAGACAAGCGCCGTGAGATGGTGGACGATACCACGGGAGATGAGTGAGTGAGTGCACCGCTATGATGGCTTCCGACCACGGACATGAACCAAACGGAATTATATACCATCGCGGCGGGGAAGACTCCAGAGTAGCAAGATTGAATATTATATACTAATAACAGTTTTTACATATTGATAACTGCAAGGCACAAGCGTTATTATGGTTATCTGCTTTAAGTTCTGAACATTTGAAACATTATAATATTATTCACGGTTGTTTCTGCTTAGGCAGTGTCTTGAGATTTTCTCTATTTTATCAAGGGCTATTCTGTTTTTGAGTGTGTTAGTCGTCCATATTGCCCAGGCACAATCCGCTGGTTCCCTCAAGTGCCAGGTTCTTGTATGACCAATGGAAGTAATAATGGTCCGTGTCGCCTTCCTCTCCGCATTCGCAGAAAGGAGTATCCCTAAGTCTGAATCTGTTCAGGTATACTGGGAATGGTCCATGACCTGTCAAGAACTGTGTTACGTTAGCACAGTGGGTCTTTATTTCCATGTTAACTTTTGGCAGTAAGCGAAATGTCCTTCGTCCTAACTCTGCCTCTGTCCATCTACTTTGCCAATTTTGTAAAAGACTTGTCAAAGTTGTTCGCTTAATATGAGACCAAGGAGCCGCCAGACTTGATGCCGAATCACTGAGTATGGAGAATTTCTCCTGTTGACATGTGTTTGCATATCTAATTGCAGCACTGATAGCTAGAAGCTCAGCTTGGTATACCGAGTTGTTCAAGCCTAATTTCCTTTTCCACTCGAATGTTACAACTCCATTTTATAGTCTACAGAAGGCGCTGCCCGTGCCGTTCTCAGTTTTGGAGCCATCTGTGAAAGGGTTATTACTGTACCTCTGAATTGGTTGGTCGTTTATACTGTACCGTCGGAGAGATTAAAAGCCTGTTGGATGGAAGTTATTGCAGTTGTTTTGCTCCTCGTAGTCTGAGTGGTGATAACTATGACCCCAGAGTGTTGAAGTTTGACCCAGCCTGGTAACCCTTATGATAGCTGCCTTCCTTTCTACTATCAAATCTAGGGGAGGAATTCCTGCTAGTTGTTGTAGGGCTAGTGTTGACGTGGTACGGTAGGCCCTGCATACTTGAAGTAGCTGCTGTCTCTGAATAGAGAGCAGACGTGGCTGTAATGCGTTGAATAGTCCACAATGATAGCGTTGGGACGGTTCGGGCCTGGCGAACAATCATCCTATCTTGCCTCGCATTTGTACTCCTTGGCCTTCCAGAGCCTTCATTTTGTCGGCAATTTCCTTTGTAGTCACCATTGCTACCAACATCTTTGTACAGCAGTGTCTGTACGCTATAGGTGGCGGTCTATTGCTCGGTATGACCACCCAGCTTCACGCAACCCTACAATGCGACTACTTCGAAGTCGTTTAGTTGTCTATAAGGTCATCGATATCGTCGTAACGGCATCTTTAGTTGCTTCTTCGCGGAATTACAGTGGCAGCAACAAAAAAGGATAAATTTTCCGCCTCTGTTACTGGTTTTACAGTCTGCAAATTGCGCATTAGAAATGCGCGCTGTGATCGCAATTCCCGTTCATTTGCCTTGAAACTTTAATCATTTGCATGTTCGATTTCGAAGATGTTTTTGCATACCAAATTTCCTCACGATCGCAAAAGTCCTTCTCGGTGCTCGATTTTTTTTTTTTTTTTTTCAAAAGAGTGTATTTAGCAAATAAAATGTAATTAACAACACAAAAGTATCGTATAATTATAACGTTGTAAAGTCACTATTTAAATTATAATTAATACAACCTTTTTAAAACACATAGTTTTAATCAAATTAGTAAAAATCTTTTTTAAAAATATCATAATATGTGACTAAAAATAAAATCGCAGGTCTCACGAAAATGGTGGATTTTAATTCAAAATTCCTAAAGAGAAATTCAAAAGTATTAAATATAACGATTCTCGTAACTATCATGCACCTTGTTCCTTAAAAATCTGTTAATATCCCAATGTAATTCGTATATGAAGCTCCAAGCTTTTAATTTTTATTAGATATGTAAAAAATATTAGAATAATTAAAAAATTATCACTATTATTATTATTTTACATTTTAGTGCATTTGATCAAAGATGTGTAATTTAAAAAAATACTTTATATATTTTATTTTATACTTTTTAATGTTTGGAACGCGAAAAGGTAGTAAAATGACTACCTCTGAAAAGGAAAATTTTTCTATCATTAGATTATATTATGATGTTCGGTCATATAAAATTAATTAAAATTTCTATTTTATTTAGAAACCCGATCCCAAATTCGCTTAAAATCACGTGACGGTGTGTGTGTGTGTGTGATTCTGGCAAAGCCTCGAAGGCTATCTGCCTAAAGGGAGGGATGCCTTCGTGGAGGACTTTCTAAGGGAAACTGGCTCGCATACACGTTACACATGAGGAAAACAACGAAAACGCCCATACGTGGGATTCGAACCTCGCACCGAACTACCAGTGTTCAGCGACGTTACCTCTCGGCCGCTGGTGGACCCCGCTTAAAATCACGACCCTACTTACAATGAATACTACTTCTGATTTCAAAATTTCCTCGCTGTTAGGAACTGAGCGATGGCTTAAAAAATAAAATAAAATAAATAAATAAAATAATAAAAAAAAAGGAATATTTTTTAAATTCGGCAAGTTACATTAGACATTAGAAGAATCATCTGGAGGAGTCTTTAACGGATTTTTCAGTGGTATAAAAGCAAAAGTTTGTGGCTCTACTTTGACTACTAAACGAAGAATTTTGAAAAAAAATTTCATCATCAGTTAAAAAAGATACCTATTGAATTTTTTAAAAATCCTGCGGAATTTGTATTGTCATCGTAAATTCGTATGCTGGAAAAAATTTAAGAAAATCGGATCGTAAAACGTAGGTGAGAAATCCATTTCAAGGTTTGACTCAGACCAACAAATAAATAAAGAGAGGTTAAGTTACTGAAATACGAAAAATGGGATCCCAGGATGAACTCCTCGTATTCAATGGTTTTATGCCGTTGATGAAGCATAAACAAATACAAAAAGTGAGTATAATTTTTGTCTTCAATATGGTTTGGTTTGTATGATTACGGCAAAACCTCGAGGGCTGTCTGCTTACGGGAATGGATGCCTTAGTGGATGACTTTCTGAGAGAAAACAGCTGAAACACGAACGAAGACATTTTCGTTCGAAAGTGCGTTTGGCTGCCGAGAAAATAAATAACGAGGAGAATTATACAACACTTGTATTTAAAGAAATTATATAAATTACACTTAATAAAGAAAAATGCAGTGAGAGGAGAAACGGGCCTTTAAAAAAGTACATTTAATAAAGCGAATAGGAATGTTCGGTTTGGTTTATGTTAATTACGGCAAAGACTCGAGGGCTATCTGCCTAAGGGGAGAGATGCCTTCGTGGAGGACTTTCTAAGGGGAACTAGCTCGTATACACGTTACAAACGGGGAAAACCATGAAAACGCCCGTGCTGCCAGCCCGTTCGCGGTATTCAAACCACGGAACCGAAACGAACTACTAGTGCTCAATGACTTTACCGCTCGGCCGCTGCGTCTTCAATATGTTGTCATCGGTAAAAGGAGGGTGAGTAATTGATACATAAAACAGTCTTATAACAGTCATAATGGCTATACAGATTAACTTGGATAACAATACTGATGACAGCATATCAAATAAGAACTCATGATCACGTGTATAACACGATTTGGATTGAATTCATCCAAAAGTGCAGTAAACAAAATACATTACAGTGGAATAAATAATAAATGAAGATATAAGGAAGGCAGAAGACAGTCCATGAATCTGTATACAAATCATAGGTGCTCAAGTTCAGTAACAGGAGCTACATAGTGCAACGAGGATAGATAGGGGTCACAGGGGTGGTCCCTCATCCCAGTGCTATAGCTGAAGAAAGCTGCTGGAATCTGCAGGAATTAAACTATGAAAATAAAATGCATCTGTATAAAGTAGTGTCATAACTGTACAAGAACTTTTCATAAGTGGGGAAAGTCTTGGTTTTCAATGAGCGCAAGAATGAAAGCGGGATATTTTTACTTTTATATTTCATACTCTGGAATGAACTAATAAATTTTTGCTGAAAAAGTAATGAGTAGAAATTAATGCAATGTATAGAATACAGTAACATATAGCGAGACTCTGGCGGTAGGACGAAATGTAACACTTAACAGCGTTATATTTCGTCCATATTATAACTAGGAATGCATATAAATTTATATCATTTGAAGAATTATCTAATCGTTGCTACATGTTCTATTCAAATACTCTAATAAATCTAAAACGATGTATAAAAGAAATTAAGCAAACAAACAAAAACAAAAATTTTTCACGACGATTCATTCAATTACTTCAGGTTCTCATTTCCCCACAAGAAACAAAACATAAAACTCAAAATATATAATTAAAAATTACGAAGTAAATTGAACACTTATTTCCTCGAATAAATTCCAGGATGGATTAAACATGATTTAATTTTGCAATAATAGAGAAGGCGTTCTCTTTGTTGTTTCGAGTTAGTTCTCTGGATTGGCAAAAATCCGCTTTTCAAGTTTTTAAAGTGTAAACAAACTGTCCGCCATCGCAAATTCATTAGCTGCGTTTTAAACGATTTTAAATTGTTGATAACTCTAACATATTGCATGTAAATTTACTAAAGGCATAGAAAACTTAACAGGTATACGAACAAAAAATTCAATCATTTTTAAAGCAAAAATGCAAATTAACAAACGTATAAGAGTAAAGAACTGAGATCATGGCCGGGTAACGAGTGATATATATAATATATAGTACCTTATTATATATTTTGGTGCGCGATTACAACCCAAAATACGAGGTGCACATCTAATGCTATACATGCTATAGCAGTCCTGCATACAAAATTTCGAGTCTGAGACTACTCTTTTGAGTTTGTTTGAGTACCTAATACTACTCACATAAGCCAGAAAATTCTCTTCAAATTCATTTTAAATCAGTTTTATAATTTTTTTTGGGGGAAAAGAGTCCTTTATTCTGTCCTTACTTACAGATGTCACGCAAAAACATGATTACATTGCATTTGTAGCGGTCCAAAATCGTTTATTTTGTTAAAATATGATACCCAAAATTTTTCGCGATTACAATAATTCCATTTTACTTCGTACAAGGAATTAAAAAAGAAGATAAATAAGTGCGTGAGGTTACCTCTGTAAAAATTGCTTAGTTAATTATCAAATTAATTTCTTTCACAACTTTACAAATTACTTTCTTCTGTGTTAATCTGATAGTGTTTTGATGAAATTTACCTGTTTTGTTCCTTTTATCTTAAAGTGTGTTAAAAAAATGTCCGGATTCAAATCTTTATGCTAAAATGCATTTACAGCTATTAAAAATTGAAAAATGCATGTGTGCGATGCATTTATCGTTCTGCGATGATTTGCAGGCGCTTTATTTTTTACCACGATATTTTCGACGACGATGTTTTAGAACTGCGATGTTTCCTCTTTGCTTTCTTTTCTCCCACGATGTTTTGTACGACGACGTTTTTGCCTTGCATTGTTTTATCCGCGACGTTTTCGTACACGATGTTTTCGGCTGAAACCTCAATGCACTACTATATAACCTTTTCCAAAATTACCAGTCTACATCACAGGTTTAGATTATTTGATTTAGGCAAAGTGTAAGAATGCTATTTGTCACACTTCATCCTAATTCCGACGGACGTTCACTTCATCCTAATACGCGAACGTTCCAATCTCAAGATCCCAAAACCCTGTTCCTCAATTCCCAGGCTCTACAAAAGGCCGACGAAAAACCTGCTATCAATAACACAGAATAAAAGATAAAACGGTCTCGAAATTCTTGCCGTTTGATGCAGCCATTTGCATTTTGTCTCGTTTACTTTGACCCACATAAATCTTCCCGAAGAACAAGGTATAGAGGTAGCAAACAGCAAGAAAATAAAGATTTGATTTACACGCATGGGCTTTCAGGGGTGTTGTTTTCACGCAGCGGCGCCCCTGAACTACGATTAATCCTCGTAATGTTACACGCACTCCCTTCAACCTCCTGAGTAGTTGGAGCGAATCTTCCCGAAATAGATGTCGCACCCTGGCGCAGCCAAGTCGGTCACAGGAAGACAGGGTCACTGTTTACAAAAGACGACATTTTGATGCAGAAAACTTATTTTTCCGGATAAGTTTATTTTTTTAAAGTGTAATTGAATAAGTTTATGTTACGAATATTAGACCAACGAAGGTTCAGTTATGAAAAAAATCTGATGTGCACACTACATCACTTCCTTGTACGGAATAATAAATTATACGCATTTTTTCTTGCATTTTATTTAAACTTATTATACGAATTAACCGACTCGCCGACAGCGCTAAACCACAATAGAATAAAATTCACTTTTTTACCATAGAGAACTTGGGGCGCTAGTTTACTTAACAGTATTCTATTTCGTTCATATTATATCTAATGCACAAATATATATCTTAAGAGTTACTATCGTTTCACATGTCTATCAATCTTATAAAGCTAGAACTATGTCTAAAAGAAATTAAGCAACAAGACAAACAGAAACTTTTTTTCACAGACGATTAGTATTTCTCATTAATTTAACTCAGTTCGCACTCGCGAGATGCAAAAATACATAAAAACTCAAATATCTATATTAAAATTACGAAGTAAATCTCAACGCTTTTTCCTCGAAAAAATCCAGAAAGAATTAAGCTTATTAATTGGCAGAATAAATGAATGCGTTATCTTTGTTGTTGCAAAGCTAAGTTTCTTAGTGGCAACCATCCACTGTCTCCCGTTCCAAAGTAAACTCAATGGCCGCCATTAAAACAGGCTTAGCGGCAATTAAACAACTTAAAATTGTTGATAATTCTAAAATGGCACAAAGATTACTAAAGGCTTAAACCATACCGGAATAAAAAACAACAAAAATCATTTTTAAAGCAAAAATGTACAATTACAAAATAAGAGTAGAAACTGAGATCATGAGCGGGTATAGAGTGGATATAGATATAAATATTTTTATATACGTTGGTGCGGCCGATGCAACCAAATACTAGTGCACATCTACTGTTATAGCAGTCCTATATACAAATTTCAGCGTTCTGAGCTACTCCTTTTTGGTTATGCGAGATAGTACTACATAGGCGACAGACCACGAAAATCTCTCAGATAATTTAAAATTTTATAATTTTTTTTGAAGGGAAAGGTATTTATTCTGTCTTCGTACAGATAGATATGACGCAAAAACATCGTTAAATTGCATCCGATAGCGGTAAAAATGGATATTTTCGTTGAAATATGCTGCCTGAAACTTTTCGCGATTACAATACTTCCTTTTTACTTCGTACAAGGAAGTAAAAACAAACAAACAAAACTTTTTAGACCAGAGAAGGGCTATTCGTTTCAAAGTGGCATTCTACATCGATTCACTTTTCATACTGTGGCCATCAAATATTATTACCATGTGTTATATTAAAAGAAACTAAATACTGAAGAATCTGCATGAATGTTTCTCGCATTGTGAAGAAAAAACGGTACCTAGAGTCATCGAATTTTTAATTTCGAATTTGTTTTATTATGTATTTAAAATTTTATAAAACTTTAATGAATTTTTTATTAACAAACTCAACGATTTCAAAGCGAGCAATGGAAACACAGTACGGAAAAAAACACTTTTATCTGTAGTGCGCAAGACTGTGTATCGGAAACTGTATATTGTTGTAATGTATTAATTGTATATAATTGTAAAGATTTTTTTTTTTTTTTTTTTTTTTTTTTTATTTTGCGACATTGCTGTTGAATTGAACTTAATGTGTTTTAAGTGCGAAGTACATGATATTTAATCAATAAAGATAACACACAAAAAGCTTAAAAACGTCCTTAGGGCGTAATTCAATCTGAAACTTAGTTTTTTTTTTTTTTTTTTTTTTTTAAGCGTTTCGTGTGTTACCTTTATTAGTAAACACACATTTCTACCCTAAACCATAACATTGAATCAACTGTATCGCAAAATAATGTTAAAGAGCATATCTTTAAATTCTATACCATCTCGCGCCGGCAAAAAAAATCTTTTTTTCTTCCAGCACAATGTTGCCATATTCGCTTTGAAATACTGATTTTGTTAAAAAAATCATTTAAGTTTTACAAAGTTGAAATAGCATAAAACAATTCGATTCGTGGCTTCCAGATGCCCACATCGGGTGGAGGCGCCGTATTCAAATTGATGGCTCTCGCATCGTTGTTCCAATGCGAACATATCTACTTTATTCAAATCTTCATTATTTAATTTCTTTAAATATATACAGGGCGATATAGTTGGTGGCAACAATCTGTAAAGTGAAACGGACATCTAAATTTTTCGACGCCAATGCCCAAAATTAATAGCCCTTCTGGGCTAACGCCCTTTGGGCTAAAATAAAAAATAAATAAATAAAATAAAATAAAACAAAGTCATATACATGAATTAACTGTCAGTTTAACATGATACATGTGGTATACAATAAACAGATTTAAAATTAAGCTACACTGATAAAATTTGTATTTATAAAAATATTAAAATAAATTTTCGTTTAATATTATGTTAATGTGATCGAATTGTAGAATTTCCTTTACAACATCTTCCGTTAACGCATCCCTCCACCCTTCCCAACAGCGATTTGCGCCATCGGAGTTAAAGATATGAAAGAAGACACATGCATTTCAAAACTGAAATTAAAAGAAGAAAGCTGGAATTTGATTAATTATTAATGTTGCCTCAAGTAATTTAAGATCATCAGTGTCTGTCTACACCCGTGAATGACTGATCATTGAACAGGTTCCATTTTAGGTCACCGAATGGGATGACTGAATGCATTTTCATAACTATCACCATGCGCAATGAAAATATGAGCTAGTTAGTTCACATTAAAAATCCTCGACAAAGCTTTTGGCTTAAATTTGGACTGATAGCCACCACTCTTTTCATAATAACAAATAAAGTTCCTTAATTTCATACCTTGTACTTTTTACTATCATTAAGTACTTTTTAATATCATTAAGGGAATAAATATTCTTATTACTTTTCCACACAGAACGGTAATTTATTGATAAAAAGCTGTAAGATATCGCATTCTCACGTTCCAGCAACTAGTTGGCATCTAGTTAGATCCACGGTTCGAATGCCTGTCAGGCACAGTTGTTGTTTCCTGTTTCTTGCTGCCCCCCCCGAAAAAAAATGGTTTCTACAAAGTAATGGGGGAAAATAATCGCTATAATCACTTCCTGTTCACTCGACAGGATACCAAAAACTGAAAACAGTTGAAACACGAACGCGGACATTTTAGTTCGAAAAGGCGCTTGACTGCCGAGAAAATAAATAAAGAGGAGAAATATGCATTACTTGTCTGTAATAAAAATTATAAGTTGCTTTTAATAGGAAATAAATACATTGAAAGGAGAAATAGCATACGGAAAAATACATTTAATATAGCGAAACTGCCTAAGGGAAGGGATGCCTTTGTGGAGGAATTTCTAGGGAAGACTCGTATACACGTTAAACATGGAGAAAATAACGAAAATGCCCATGCAGCCAGCCCGTCAGCGGGATTCCAACCTCGGCCCGAAATACCAGTGTTCAGTGAATTTAAAACTCAGCCGCTGGCATACGTGGATCGGAATGACGCAGAAGTGGAAAAGGACAAAACCGTTGAAAAGTATATTAAATCCTGCAGATGTATATATTTAGAAAAATACATCTTGAAGGAATGTCAAAGAGAAAACCTCTCATCTATAAAATATCCCGGTAGACAAGGCCTTCTAAATCTGGAAATCGGATCTAAATTCAACGAATGAAATTCAGTGAGTTTGTTCAGTCAGTCACTAAAATGCTCCTTATTTATGTAGGAAATGCTACAACCAATTTCCTAAATTTTGTCGAAGAACTTCTGACAATTATTAAGTGAAAAGGAGTCGCAGTCTACTCTCGAAAAGAGAAAAAATCTGATGTGTACACCACATGACTTCCTATATTAAATTATACGCATTTTTTCTTGAATTTCATTTAA